TCCAATTTCTCCACATCCTCGACAACACTTGTCATTTTCTGTTTTTTAATTTTTTAAATAGTTATTCTAATGGGTGTGAAGTGGTATTCATTGTGCTGTCGACTAGCCTGATTGCTCTTTGTTAATGTTCCATGAGAATCTGAAAAGGCTTCGTCTGTTTTTCCCAGGGTCTAGGTTTGGCGTGATCCTGGTTTATAATCGCCCATCTTTCTTCTATCTTGAGATAATCATAAAAACATGGGCATGTCCATCCATAGCGTTTTTCTCCTTCCTTTCCAAAAGTGGCGGCTGTGAGATACGCTTGCTGGCACCCAGTTCTCAGAGTGCTCACGGCACCTGGGATTCCCTGACATGGGTGCGTCGCAGCCGTGTGGCGGTGTGCCCAAGATGTCACCTTGTCTCCAGCCATTTGCAGGGCCGCAGCCCAAACAAACCAGCTCGAATGTGTCTGTGGGCACACGTTCCTTCAGGGAGGGACGTCTGTTTTAATGAGATGGACGTCTAGGGGCAAGCGGGTGGGTGGGTTCTCAATGTGCTCGAGAACGTCAGATGGCTGCCCAAGCCGCTGCCATCGTCCGCTTCCCCCACAGACGGAGCCGGCCCCTGCTGGCCCCTGGCCAGAGGCCTGAGCACATTCCGGGCATCTCCATCGGACGCCCTGCGCCGTCTGTGCCTCTCCTGACACTGCCAGGCCCCATGGCGAGGGGTGTGTTTTCCCCAGACATTTATTCTGCCGTATGAAGCTTAATGTCATCTAAATCCTCCAAAAAGAAAAAAGAATTGTTGGAGTTTAAAGTGGAAGTGTGACCAGATTGCATACAATTGTATATTAATTTTGGTGTAGCTGTATCTTCATGATATTAAGCCTGCCCACCAAGAATCCGGTGTGTCTGTCCAAAGCCGTAACATTTAAGGAGATGATATTTTCTACATATAGCTTCTATAGATTTCTTTGTTAAACTTATTCCTATTTTCTATTTTGATAATTATTGTGAATGGAACATTGTCCCCATTTGTGTTTCTAGCTTGTTATTGATAGTATGGTGCAAAACGATTACTTTTTATCTGTGAATATTCATCTAGCCATTCTACCACACTCCGTGGCTACTTCTGGTGGGTTTTCACCAGAACGTCATGAGTTTTTAGGTATGTGACCCCGCCACTAGCAAAAGAGGTTGGGGAGAGAGAGAGAATTGGATATCTTCTTCTACAATACTTGTTTCACTTTCTTATAAAATTCAGCAGAACCCGACACAACATTGCATAGTAATAGTAGGCACGCACGCCCGGCTCTTGATTTTAATGTCAGGAGATTTACCCATCCCGTTTTGGTTTGTTTTCCACTTCAGTTACAGCCTTTATCTTTATTAATTCTCTCTTCCTATCTTATCTTGGGTTATTTTCTTTTTTCTTTAAAATTTTTTAAGATAACAATGAAGTTCTTAAGCTTTCTATTTTTCTTCTTTAAAACTAAAAGCTGGGGGGCTGGCCCCATGGCCCAGTGGTTAAGTTTGCGCGCTCTGCCTTTGGCGGCCCAGGGTTTCACCGGTTCAAATCCTGGGCGTGGACATGGCACCGCTCGTCAGGCCACGTTGAGGCGGCGTCCCACATGCCACAAGTAGAAGGACCTGCAACTAAGATATACAACTATGTACCAGGGGGCTTTGGGGAGAAAAAGGAAAAATAAAATCTTTGGGGGAAAAAAAAACCCTGAAAGCTATAGTTTCTCCTTCGGAAAAGGTTTTAGCCATGGACTCTGAGTTTAGACATGTAGTGTTTATTTTTCATTGCTTTCTACAGTTTTTACAATTTGTTTTTATTCCCCCTCAACTTAAGTGTTAATTGGTACATGTTTCTAAAACTTGAACTTGTGTACTTTGGTCATCTTTTTAGTATTTGTTGTAATTTGATTAGATTATGGTCGGGGACCATGGCCTATAACGTCTCTAGTATTTAATTTGTTAGGATTGAGATCAAATTGATTGTGGTGTGATTTGTGCACAATAAGCACTGCCCGTTGAAAGGGTACTTTTCCCTGAGTTTTGACCAAAACTGTGGCCCCTCTGTGGTCCGTCCTCCCTCCGCCCCGGGTCCCAGGCAGTCCCTGATCTGCTTGCTATCACTTTAGACTCATTTGCACTTCTGTTTACATAAACAAAATGCTGCCGTTTGTGTCTAGCTTTCTCACTCAGCACAGTCAACATTTTGAGGCTCCCTGTGTTGTCGGCCCCTCAGTGGTTGGTTCCTCTCTACTGCTGAGTAGCCTTCCGTTTGTGTGTCTGTCCACCTGTTGATGGACATCTGAGCTACTTATAATTTTGGGCTGTTACACAGAGAGCCGCTGTGCACACCCCTGCTCTGTGTGAACTTGCGTTTCCAGTTCTCTTGGGTGGATACCTAGGAGTGGAGTTGCTGGGCCATGTGGTTGGTGTAGGTTTAACTCTGTAAAAAACCACCCAGCTGTCTTCCAGAGCGCGCGCACCATTCACAGTCCACCAGCAGTGGGCAAGCGTGCCAGCGTCCTCCCGTCCTCGCCAGCACTTGCTGTGACCGGTCTTTTCCATTCAGACGGCTGAGCAGGCAGGCAGTGGGGTCTCTGTGACTTAAGCTTGCATCCCTCATGACTGATCGTGCAGATTGGCTCTATTTGTAATCGCCAAGCACATCTTTTCACACACTCTTTTCCCATCTGTATCTCTTCTTTGGGGAAATGTCTGTTCAAATCTTTTGTCTGTTTTGAAAATCAGGTACTTCGTGTTCTTGTCATTGAGTTGCAAGAGCTCTTTATGTATGCTAGATGTAAGACCTTTATCAGATGGATGTTTGCAAACATATTCTCAGTCTGTGTCATGCCTTTTCTTTTCTTTTTTTAAAAGTTTTGAAGAACAGAGGTTTCTAATGTTGATAAAGTCCAGTTTATCAATTTTTTCTTTTAAGGTTCATGCTTTTTGTCACCTGTGTAAGCCCTAAGTCCAGGTCACAGAGATTTTCCTCTTATGCTTTCTTCTAGAAGTTTTATAATGTTGGCTTTTACAATTAGATCTGTGAGTGAGCTTCACATAAGGTGTGAGGTAAGGGAAGAAACTTATTTATTTGCGTAGGTGTATGTAATGGTTTCAATGCTGCCTGGGAAAAGACGGTCCTTTCCTCGTTGAATTGTCTTTGCAGCTTTGTCAAAAACTCAGTTGACCATATACAGGTGGGTCTATTTCCGGACTCTGTTCTGTTCTGTTGACCTGTGTATCACTCTTTTGTCAATGCCATCCTGTCTTGATTATAGTAAATCTTTTTTTTTTTCCCAAGATTTTACTTTTCCTTTTTCTCTCCAAAGCCCCCCGGTACATAGTTGTGTATTTTTAGTTGTGGGTCCTTCTAGTTGTGGCATGTGGGACACCGCCTCAGCGTGGCCTGATGAGCGGTGCCACGTCGTGCCCAGGATCCGAACCAGTGAAACCCTGGGCTGCTGCAGCAGAGCGCGTGAACTTAACCACTCGGCCACGGGGCGGCCCCTATAGTAAATCTTGAAATCAAGTGATGCAAGTCCTCTAAACTTGTTCTCCTTTTGAAAAATTGTTTTGCCTAGACTAGGTCTTCTGCCATTGCCATATAAATTTTAGAATCAGGTGGTAAATGTGTTCAAAAAAGCCTACTTGCATTTTGCTTGGGGCTGCGTTGACTCTAGAGATCAATCCAGGGGAAATGCGATCACAGCCGTGTTGAGTCCATGAACATGGTCTCTCTCTTCATTTAGGTCTTTAATTTCTCTCAACACTTCTGTTGTTTTAGGCGAAGCAAGCTGGCACATCTATTAAAAATATAGTCACAGATATGGTATGTTTTCATCAGAATTGTTAATGGAATTGCTTTTAAATTTCGTTTTCCAATTTTTGCTGCTAGTATATAAAGATGCATTTGTTTGTTGTTTATTAACCTCATATCTTGTGACCTTGCTAAATTCACTTATTTGTTCTAGAAGTGGTTTTGTAGCTCCTTAGAATTTTCTGCACAAATGGTCACATTATTTGTTAATAAAGACAATTTTAGTTCTTCGTTATCGATCTTCATGCTTTTAATTTCTTTTCTTTCTTGCCTTAGTGCAATGGCTAGTCCTCCAGTAAAAAATGGACGGGAGCAATGAGAGGGGCAGCCTTTGCTCGTTGCTGAGCTAAGAGGAAAGTGTTCAATATTTCACCGTGGACTATGATATGATGTTTGCTGGAGGGCTTATCTGTGGCTGAGTACATGATCCACATCTCTTAAATTTTTAAAATTCTTATTTGCCAAATATTTGTTGAGCTGGGGGCACAGCTGCGAGCTGGTCAGGCCCCTGGTCTCAGGCGGTTTACTTTCTATCAGCAGAAACTGGCAGTAGAAGAGCAAGGAAGCAGCACATCTGTCGCTTCAGATCGTGGCCGCGCCGCGCGGGAGAGCAAAGCTGGGCGGGATGGAGGCAACAGGGCTCTTTCCTCTTTGCCCGTTTGCAGATCTATAATCAACAAGAATTCTTGGTGTTAAGTGGGAGTCCAGTTTCATGCTTCCCCACAAGGAGCTCAGTTATCCCAGTGCCAGTGGGGGATTCTGGTTCTTTCTCCTGGGAGCTGAGGCCCCACATGTCACTGGTCATAGGTTCAAGTCCTGTGTCTGCGTCTGTGGGTCTCCATTCGGGCCTCCTCTCTGATCCCTTCCTCCCCTGCACCCCAGCCACCCCGTGCCACACCACACCACGCATGGTGTCTGGTAGATGCCCCTCTTCGTGGTTCTTTCAGGTGCTGTCCTGGCAGGGCCGTTTGCATTTCTACACACAACACTCTTAGCTTGCCCAATTTCAGTTTCCTTTTTAACTCTTGGTGGTTTGGTTGGGATTGCACTGATCTGTAACTCAGTTTGGGGAGTCTCTCCATCCACGAACATGACAAATGTCCTTACATACTTAGTTATTTTTTAGTTTTTCCTTAAATTTTTATAATTTTCCCCATAGCTTTATTTCAAGTTAAAAAATATTTTTCTCTTTTGAAAGACTGAGTTTAATCTAAATGCAACATGGTATCCTGGACTGGATCCTGGGACAGAAAAACAACTTTAGTGGAAATAGTGGTGACATCCCAAGGAAGTCTGTAGTTTGGCTGAGAGCCTTGCACTGAGTGGATTATCTCAGCTTTGACGAATGCATCACAGGTGACGGTAGGGGAAGCTGGTCAAGCGTGCACAGGAGCCCTCTGTACCGCTTGTGCGAGCCTTCTGTAAACCTGAAAGTATTTCAAAATAGAGTCCTAAAAATCAACTTTGTGTATTATTTAAATATACATATTTTCCGTTATGAATAACGTACCATAATTGAATGCACTCATCATAGTGAACACTGAGTAGGGTTTTGACAGGGGTGACTGGTGTACATGAGCGGTCCCAGGAAAACCTGTCTGAGAAGACACTGGGTTGGGTGCAAGCAGGACAAAGTTCAGAGAAGGGAGCTCTAGTAAGAACAGCAGGTGCAAAGGCCCTGAGGTGGGAGCATCAGAGACCCTGACCCCACCCTCACCCCCCCCCCCCCCCCCCCCAGGCCCCAGGCTTGCAGAGAAAACGTCTTAGCCTCCCCATCTCCTGCAGCGTTGCAGGGTGGGGAGTTGGGGAAGAGGCCCCAGCCAGAGCAGGCAGGGGGAGGGGGGGAGGGGTGGGTTGCTGGGGGTCGTGGGCAGACCCCAGGTCTCTTCTCAGGCTCATGCTGGCATTGCAGGCTCTGTGTGGACGTGGGTGAGTGGCTCTTTCTAGCTGCTGTTGGATTTCAGCATAACCGCCCCTCTCCCCACCCCCAAAGTATGGGACCTGCTCCTGAGTGGAGAGCTGCCTGACCTCGTCCTGCACTCGGGTCATGACCCGGGCAGTCACTTAACTGTGTGGAGGAGTGGGTGGGAAGTGCCAGCCGTGCGCTCCCATCCTTATTTCTCACTGGGAAGCAGAGGCTGAGAGAAGAGTGAGGGGAGCGTGTGGTGGTCAGCCCCTAGGAGCCCAGCACGGACCCCAGCCTTGGCTTCGATGCACCTCCTGCAGTCGGAGACGTGGGCCAGGCTGTTGGGATCAGGGCCTTGGGCCCAAGGCGGAGCCACTCGGACCCTCAGTTTCCTCCTCTGTAAAGGCGGTGATGGGCGTGCCACTTACTCAGGGGTTGAGGTCTAAGGCAGAGGGCACGGGGCTGGGACTCCCAGGCGCTGCCACTTTGCCCCCCTGCCCCACCGTGCGGCGTCTGTGGCGGGAGAGCAAACAGCACGTGGGGTTCCTGTGCCAGGAACAAGCTTCTAGCACTTTCTGCTGCGATGCCACCGCGCCTTCTGGTTCCCAGCCCAGCAGCTTCTGGAAACACGCTGCAGACAGCACTGGGAGCCACGGGGTAAAGCCGCGCTGGGGGAGCGGCCTCTGCAAAGCAGCGCTGTGGACACCCAAGAGTGGGTCTCCTTTGGACAGTGAGTGGCTTTGCAGCCTGTCCGCGAGCACTAGCCCACCGCTGTGGAGTGACCTCTGGTCCTCTCCCCTGGCCTGGGAGAGGTCATCCAGCCTTCCCCAGTGCCCCTCCATCTGCTGGGCTAGCCCCTCCCCTGGCCTTCCCAAACCCGGCTGGCCAAGTGCACCAGCCCAGAGCTCAAGCAGGGGTAACCCTGATACTCAGAGCCAAAAGGGGCCCAGGCAAGCCCCCCAGTTCTGCACCTGGTGTAGAGAGCTCAGCACTCAGTTGGTGCTTAATAAAGGCTGTTTTGTCACTAGACCTATGGCCCAAGTAATGCAGTGGAGGACGTTTTGAGACCCAGCCCACTGATTCGAAGGGCCCCTCTGGTCCCCGCCTCAGCCACCACACGCCTTTCCCTCTCAGGAGAGGGATGTGGATGAGATGAGGTCACTCACCTGCACTTTAAGATGCTAGAACTTTCCAGGAGGGAGAAAGAGCAGTTGGCCACTCTCACTGTAGTGTGAATTAGCTTGTTCAAGTGGGGAGATTTACATAAAAGCAGTCTACAGGTGCTGTGGGTGGCCCCAGGCCAGGGAGGGTGCAGCTGCTCCCCAGACTGGGAGTTTGTTCCTGCCGCCGCAAGCCCCTCCCCCCTCCCCCCACAACCGCCCGAGACAGCAGCAGCAGAGGAGGCAGAGATCCGGGCCTAATTATCTGGGGAGCTGTTGGAAGCGTGCATAAGCAACTCTATGACCCAGTTTCCCTTGAGTCACTGGTCTGAAATCTGCTTTGCAAAACTGTGCACATGTGGATGAAAACACCATGAGGCTCTTAGATTTCTGTCAGAGTCTGGGCCTCGGCCGAGTATCCAGTACAGGTGGGCTCTCCATCCCCAGGGACAGTGGTGGCAAGTTGGTCTTGGCCCCTCCACACCCCACGTGGTGTAGGAGTTTCCAGCAGCAAGAAGGGCCACTCGGTGTAGCTGTGGCCCAGCCTGACGGACACCTGGTTTTCAGCTTAGAACACTCAACAAAAAGTTCTCCTCCCACCAACAGCTGGTGGCCTGTGCAAACTACTCCCTCTGCCCACGGAAGAGGTCCCTCATGAGTAACTGGCAAAGGCGGCATCTGGTGCAGAAATCTGCAGGAAAGGGACTCTCTCCAGGTTCAGTACTGCATGGACCTGTGCAGTATCAGAGTTGTACAATCCAAGAGCACCAAGGATGAATTCAGAGAAGGAGCAATACAGAGCTGGGTCTCAAAGCCAGGGTGGGAATGGGGGACACTTCTGGGTGCGGCTGGAGAGGGTGGTGGTGTTGCCACCCACCCACACAGACTTGGGGGGGATTCCTGTGCATTTCCACCTCACGGTCTGTTCTCGAGACGTGGACTTAGCTAGCCCTGGGCAGTGCTTCGGAGGGAGCATCCAGGGATCAGCAGACAGAGGCAACATCTCAGAGACCCCGTGCCTGGAGAGGCCAGGGAAGGAGACTGAAGTGGGGACGGCAGTCACCTGCCCGGCTTGGGATCATGGGAGGTTGGCAGGCACCAGGGAGCAACTCTCGGCGGGTCGGTGGGGGGGCGCCCTAATGAATGTGGCTGGTTCCCGGGAGCATGCAGAGGTGATGTGGAGGCTGGCCTTATTCCTGCTGGCCGTGTGCGCAGGGGGTGCCCCACAGGGCTGGCCCCCAGCCGACCTGTGGCACCACAGTCCCCCTCCGCCCATGCCCTTGTGTCTCAGCCGATGCCTGCGGGCTCCGAGGCGGTAATTATAGGCCTCTGTCCTGTGGGCCGAGTCACACGGGGCGTCCAGGAGGGGTTTGTTGTTGCCTGTGAATCAGGAGGCATGAGAGAAGTGGTGGCTGGTGTGGCAGAGAAATTAGGGCCTTGGTGCCGCGACATGAAGCCGCCAGCCGCTCTGGCCAGGGGCCACCGCCCTGCCCTGCACACCAAGAGCCCCACCAGATGCCTGTCCCGGGGCTGCTCCTCAGTCCACATGTCCGTGTCCAGCCATTCCTTCCACCACCTTCCGGAAGCTGAGCCTCTGCTGGACATGGGACCCAGAGAAGTCACCTACCAGCCCACAGGAGCTCACACATGCAGTCATACACAGATACAGCCACAGCCGCACTTCCCTTACAAACCAACCTGTCCAGCAGTCACCTCCTCCCACCCCGACACCCCAAGGGCCACGCTTCCCCTGATGGATCGCAAACTCCAGAGTGCAGGTGGGGAGTAGGGCCGGGTGGAAGGAGAAGCGAGGGAGAGCCCAGCGGGACGGCAGCGCCATCCTGTCTGAGCAGTGACTGACTCACCACCTTTCTGTCCCCAGGGGCCACCAAAGACATGGGGAAGATGCTCGGGGGTGACGAGGAGAAGGACCCTGATGCTGCCAAGAAGGAAGAGGAGCGCCAGGAGGCGCTGCGGCAGGAGGAGGAGGAGCGCAAGGCCAAGTATGCCAAGATGGAGGCGGAGCGCGAGGCCATGCGGCAGGGCATCCGAGACAAGGTGGGCCGGTCCCGCCACACGGAGCTGGGCCCTGTCCCAGGCTGAGGGAGGCTGCAGGGCCTCCTCCCGCCCCTCCCTCCTTGGCGTCCCCTCGGCAGCCCTGGGAGGGCGTCCTGTGGGAGGGAGGACAGTGAGGTCCCATACCCCCGAATGTCCTCGCCAGGGTGAAGCCCCCTCTGTGGGGCCCCCAGTCCTTGCTGCTTCTGACAGCAGGCCGAGTCTCACCCTCCCAGGCTCCTTAGACGGGCGGTGGTTTCTGCAGGAGTAAAGCCCCAGCCTTGCTTGTCCTGTGCTGTCTCCCAGGACTGTTCCCACCCATGTACTCCCTGGAGAGGCTCTGCCCGCACGGGGAGGGCCCAGGCTGTCCAGGGGGCGGCTGGCTCACAGGCAGGTCCTGCGTGGGCTGGGTCATCCATAGGCAAGGACAACGCACCTGACCACCCCGGGGTGGTCACAGCAAGGTGTGGGGGGAGCAGGCCTGCGGGTGGTGATAGAGGCCACACTCTCTCCGAAATCATCTGGGCAACTTCCCCCATGAATCAGGCAATGAGCATCGTGCCCACTTTCCAGAGATGGGGAAACTGAGGCCCAGGACAGGAGTGAGCATGTGAGGCTGAGCTGGCAGCTAGCCCGAATGCCCAGCACAGGTGGTCTGTGACCCCAGAGGCATGTCCATCCAGCGGTCAGGTCGGACGGGTGGGAGAGGGCAGGCGTTAGGGCAGCTCCTCCAGCCTCATCCAAGGGGCACCGGGCTGGGCACCAGGCAGGAGCAGAAGGGGCCTCCCCAGGAGCTCAGGCGGCGTGGGCTCAAGACACCCCCGAACCATAGGGCCTCCCAAGGTCCTCGAGACCGTGCGTCTGGGGGCTCGCCCGCCACCCATGGCCCACACCAGGCCCAGGGCCCCTCCAGCGGAGGCGCTCACAGTGTCACTGGGTCCAGGTGCTGGGTGGAGGCTTGGTTTAGGGGTGCCACTTTCCTTGGTTCCTTACTGCCCCTGATCCCGGCGTCCTGGCTCTGGTATTCTCAGACCTTGCATATGAAACCCGCGGGTAGGCGGCCAGGCGCGGGGTGGTGGGGACCCCTGAGGGGATCCCCACAGTTGCTGCGCTGGACCAGCAGCGATGCCCGGGCTGCAGAGGGGGAAAGCTCAGACCCCAGGACCTCCTGCTGCTGGGTTCTGCCTTAGTGTCCCTGGGAGGGGCCAGCTGCACCTACCTGATGCAGAGGCCAGACCTCCTGAGGGGGGCAGCACAGGCGGGGCTCCTGCAGGTCTCTGAGCCCATGAGGGGTCCCCCACATTGACTGGGCGTGGTGGGCCACACACCCCAATGTCCCACCCCACTCGCTGGGCAACTTTCCTGGGGCCCTGCAGAAAGAGGAGTGGAGCCCACCGCCCCCAGGCCGGATCTGCACAACCAGGACTCGCGGTTTCGGGGAGAGACAGGAAGTGTGCCACACCGACCAGACACCAGAGAGGCAGCCAAACCCCACTCAGCCTGCCCTGGGGACATCAGTGTACGAACGATGGGGAAACGGGCAACAGGGAGGAGGAGGGCAGTCAGAGGACAGCGAGGCAACGAGAGACAGACAGACACAAAGACAGAAACAGCTGAGACCGCTGGGCAGTCTTCTGAGAAGGGAGAAGTCGGGGGCTGGGGGTGCGACAGAGACAGACATGAGGGGGGCTGGGGCAGCTGTTTGGAAGCTCATCTGCCTCTGTCTGTCTGCATCGGGCCACAAGCTGGCCATGGCTTTGCCCCAGGAGGACAGCGGTGGGGGATCCTGGGACGTGAACCTATTTGTCCCAGCCCGGATCATTTCGGCTGCTGTGGGATTACACAGGACTAGTGGGCCAGGGTCTGTCCTGGAGGGTCCGCTGGCAGGGAAGCTGTGGGGTATGTCCGGGAGCAGACAGACCCCCGGACACCACAGAGCTGTCTGCTGCGGGTTGGGGGCCGGGGGTCCTTTCCTGGGTGGCCGCACAGCTAATTGACGTGGCTTCACCGCGCCAGGCATGAGGGGGTGCGGGCAGGACCGGGGTGCCGGTGAGCCCCTCCTCGTGGGTCGGAGGCGGCTCAGGAGGGGTCTGACATGTTCTGGACGCCGGGGCACCAGGTCTGCCTGGTCTCCGCACTCCGGCCTCCAGTTTGGTCCACTCCCTCGCAGGAGCCTTCAGCTCCGCAGAGGTGCCCGCCCCGCCCCAGGGGCCTCCGGAAGGGGGCACGCTCAGCGTGGGTAGTCCGGGGGTCCCGGGATCCGAGGCGGCAGCTGCCCCTGCCCGCGACGTCCTGACCGTGGGGGCGGGGCGCCCCCTGGTGGCCGGTGCGGGGAACTCAGCGCCGGTGCCTCGCGCCCGTGGGCCCTGCTTCCCCTGGGGATGCCCAGTAAGACCCCACGCGCGGGAGCCCTGTCCTGCAGGTGTGGCTCCCCCAGGTGGCCCTCACTGGTCCCCGGGCGCCAGATCGGGCTCCCTCCAGCCCTCCGGTGCCTGTAATTCCCACGCCTCGTGGGGGCTGGTCCAAGAAGGAGGTGCCGAGCTGCCTGGTCCAAGATCCCAACAAACGGGGAGGCCAAGAGGCCGGGCCAGGGTCCAGGGAAGCGTTAGCGGACGTGGTGGACTTCTCACCTCAGGGGCTGTGGGCAGCGCCTCCCCACTCGGTCACGACGCGGGCTGCGACGGTCCAAGTGGGGGCGGGGGATCGGCCCACCTGAGCCTTATTTGCATACGCGCCACCTGGGTTGCATACGCAGCGCTGATTTGCATGCGCTCCGCCAGGTTCATGTTTCTGCCGCCCACGAAGCGCGGCTTCCAGCCGGAACCGCCTCCTCTCCGCGCCGGGCTGGTGGGCCCCAGCCCAGCCGTCTCCCACGTACCCCCGCGATCACTTGTGGCTGTCTGAGGTTTGCGCTGATAACACGTGTGGGTGCGATTGCCAATTATTAGTTGTTTGGCCATATTACAGGGTCTCACCATTAATTAGCACCAATTTGCCCAGGGGCGCTCGCTGCCCTGGGCTCCCTCCCGGCCACAGAGTCTGAGGTGGGGCCTTGCCGTCTCACTGGTGAACAAGGATGGCGGGGCGCCTCGGTGGGCAGTGTTGCTGGTGAACCGATGGGCTGTGCCTGGGCATTTGTCTCTGGAGCTCAGAAGCCTCAAACCGTCTCCCCACCAGACCACATCAGAGCCAGGCTCTGGGGTGGACCCAGCTCAGGGGCCAGCGCCAGCAGAGCCACCGTGACCCTCAGGTGGAGCCCAAAGCGGCCTTAGCCTCGGAATGACTTTGAGCCTCAGTGGAGGGGCTGGGCTGGGCTGGGGGCAGGGATCTCCTTTCTGGACCACAGAGGGAAGACCTGACACTCTTGGCAGACAAGGTCCCTGCTTCCTGTTCAGGGAGGCTGCTCTGCTCAACGTGTTCTGGCCATTCCACACCGTCCCACTGTCACTCGTGTCCCTGCTGGCACCACGTTCCTGGGACACGCACTTGGCTGTGAGCCAGAGTGCAGGCTTGGGCAGCACGGCTTCCTATATCCAGGCCACAGACCTCCCCTGGCACATGTGTGTTCCTGCCGTGTGCACAGATGTCCCGTGGCTGTAGGAGCCTGTTGGGCTCTGTGCCCCAGCTGGAGGGAAGCACTGGTCTGACCTAGTTTCTGGCAGTGTCCTCTCCAGCCCACGCCCCACCCCGCAGGACTGAGCCACGTGTCCCTCCCTCCCTCTCCTTGGGAGCCCCAGGATGCTGCCCTCTGTGGTGAGGTTGATCCCCCGAGTGGGCTTGCACTCCTCTCGTGTGCTGTGGAAGGGCCTGGTGTCTGGCCAGCTTGTCACACTGTATGCCCTCTGCTGACCTGGCATCAGCACTCAGTAGGGAGGGCCCTCTGGGCAATGTGCCCACTGTGCAGGATGTTCTTGGGCTCCCTCATCGCCCCTTCACTGAGACCCTCCCAGCCCTCCCGGCTCTTGTTCAGGGTGCAGAGAGGCTAAGGACCACTCAGGTCCCCTGCTGAAAAAGCACAGACACATCTCTCATCCCTTGGCCGCAGGTGCCCGAGAAAGGTCTGGGTTGTGCGCTGGTCACAGGTGGGCTGACAGCATGGCTTACTCCTCTCGGACCTCTGCTGAAGGTGGTCCTTGCCTCCCAGATGCCTGAAGCCAGCTGCAGCCTCAGGGGAGGAGATGGGTGCGTGCTGGGGGTGGGACACAGCCAGGCCCCCCAGTCTGGAAGCAGAGGGAAGGGCCTTCTTGGAGACCCAGGGTACGCCCCTGCCAGCATCAGAAGCAGAGCCTCCCACTTCTTTCAGGAGGAGCTGGTGAGGAGAGATGAGCAGGCAGTGGGGGTCCACCACCTGGCAGAAAGGCCATGCCCCAAGGCTAGCAAGCCTGCACTTGGGTGCTCCCGGTAGGATTCTGACACCCACACGTTCCCCCAGGCTCCTTCTTTAACCTCATTGATGCTTCTGCTCCCGTCCCTTCCCTAACCATGGCCCAGGACCTCAGACCCGGCCAAGGGGCGCCCCTCCCCCCAGCCTCGGCGGGTCCTGAGTTCGGCCCACCCGAAGGACAACCAGCCCCACACCCTCGGGGGGTGCAAGGTCCCCCGCCCACCTGACCCCTGCGCTCTCCACTCCCCCGCAGTACGGCATCAAGAAGAAGGAGGAGCGCGAGGCGGAAGCCCAGGCTGCCATGGAAGCCAACTCGGAAGGCAGCCTGACGCGGCCCAAGAAGGCCATCCCGCCGGGCTGCGGGGACGAGCCAGAGGAGGAGGACGAGAGCATCCTGGACACGGTCATCAAGTACCTGCCCGGGCCGCTGCAGGACATGTTCAAGAAGTAACGCCCCCGGCGGTGGACGGCGGCCCGCCGAGCCGGAGCCCCCACCCCCGACCGTCCCCTTCGCCCACCCCCGCACATGCCCTCCGCGGAGGCCCCCGAAGGGATGTCGGGAGCAGAGTGCAGCCCCCCAACGCCAATATAAGCCATAGTCCTAGGTGTGTCCGCCCCACGCCCCTCACGCCTCCGGAGCCTCCGCTCACCTCTCCTCCCCACCCCCTGCACTGCCATCGCCATCGCCACCGGGGAAGGGGCGTCCGACCTCTCCACCAACATGGCCCCTGTGGTCTGTGCTGGAGGCCCCGGGGACTGGTCCACGTGCTCCTCTGGCCGCGGGTGAGTTGGGCCCTCCCCCCGAGCCGTCCTGGGACGCCCCTTGCTCCCACCCTTCGCCGCTCACCCAGCAGCGCCGGAGGCCGGGGCCACGGAAAGGGCCAGCCCCTCGACCACCCTCGGTGCGCCGTCCCTGCGTTGGTGGGCGTTTGTCCGGGCCCAAACTCAGGAGCACAGCCATACTGGGGGGAGGCGCTCGTGCAGGCAGTCATGGGGGCTGAGAGGGGCAAGCAGCTGGTGCCTGGGTCCCCCTGGGGCAGGGGCGGGAAGCCCTCCGGCTTGGGATCAGCCTGGCCCCCCACCACCTCCTCCCCCACCGACACCTGAGTTGCTGGATCTCTGCATTTTCCTGTCCGCGGGTTGCCCACCTCTCTCCATCTGCTCCTCTCATATTCTTCGTCCGTCTGACTGTCTTTTCCTCTCCCTTCTTGGCCCACTCCCCTGGAGGGCTTTGCTTCTTGGGAATGCCCCGGCCCCGATCTCTTCCAACCCAAGAGAAACAAAGCAATAGGCTTAGGAGGAAAAGCTCAGACTCCGCCCCCTCCCCCCCCGCCCCTGTAACTCATGCTCCCCTCTGAGTCTGGGCCCTGCGGCGCCCGGCCCACTCCCCTCCCTGGTTGGCACCTCCAGTCCTCTCCTCCGAGGCTGCTCTGGGGGGATCCCCTGCCCTCTGGCCTCTGACCTTCCGCGGGAGCCGGGGAGGAGACCCGGAGCCCTCGGGGGCGCGACCTGTGCGTCTGGAGAGGCGGGTGGAGACAAAAGGCCCGTCCTTCCCCTCCTCCACCGTCCCCTCCTCGGCAGAGTGCGGCCTCCAGTTGGGGGCCAAGGGGTGTCCCTGGCCCAGCGGGGGCGGCGTTTGCCGGAAACCACCGCGGGCCGACCCACCTGGCCTCCCGGCCCTTCCGTTTTCTCCCTTGTTTATTCTGCATCACAATATGTTGAATCTCAGGTAAATGAGGTCTTCTGCATCTGAGGAGTTTTATCTCGACAGAAAGCCCTTTCTGTCCATATCGAGAAGTCATCGTGTCCACGTGCTGCGGGCCGGGGCGTGGCCCTCCTTGCTCTTAGAGAAGCCATAACACTAGACGGCAATACGCGCCGCGCGCCCCTCCGTCCAGGGACGGAGAGCATGTCCGCCGCCCGCGCTGCGCCCGCGTCCTGCGCCCGCGCCCGCGCCCCTCCCCGTCCGTCTTTTTTAAAAGCGTGTTTTCACACTTTAAAAAGCCAGCTCTGAGCAGGCAGGGCGTTGTGTCGTAGAAACCCCGCATCGCTCCCCGCGCAGGGGGCGCCCGAGCAGCCGAGCTTGGTAGACCGTGGATGTCGTCTGTCCGTCTGTCCCCGCGCTGCGCCCCCTCCTGCATGTCGGAGGCCGCCGCGTGTGTTCCCTCCGGATGGAATCACAGCCAATAAACACCGGTGATTTCACCCTGCGCCGGAGTCCTGATTCCTCTCGGAGGCGACGGCGGCCGGGGGGAGGGCGCAGCACGGGGTCCTGGAGCCGGGGGACCCCCCCCCAGGGATCGGCACCCTCTTGGCCCTGTTGGACCCCCCCCTTGCTCACCCCACATCCTGCCACATAGGAAGCCCCTGCCCCTCTCACTGGGGTGACTGCAGGATTGCCCCACTACCCTGACCCAGATGGTCCCCTCTGACCAGTTCCCTAAGGCAGCCCCAGAGTCATCTCAATCTAAAACGCTGACCAGCCCCTTCAGGGCCCAACCCGTGAGTCTCCCGGAGCTGCACAGACCTTGGCACAGGCCTTTCCTTCCCCATACCTGTGCCAGCCGCTGGGGGCCCGGGGCCCGGTGTGCTGGCCACACCTCAGGCCCACCTGGTGAATTCTGGCACAGCCCGGAGGGTCCTGGCCCCTCCTTGTGCTGAGGAGGCCTCTGACCCCAGCAGCTCTGGGCCCACTCCCCAGGGGACACCTGCCCATCTGGGCTGAGGCCTGACGAGGAGCCCGTGGGACTTGCTGGCTCGCCCAGAGAACAGCCCTGCCGTCTCCTCTGGGCCCCCCGCCCACATTCTTCCTGTGCCCTAAGCCCACCCGGAGGTGCTGTGGCTGCTTGTGTCCCCAGAAAGGCCTTGTCTGACCCTCCCTTCTGGGGGCCTCTCTCCAGGAAGGCGGCAAGTCTGGGTCACCTGTGGCTTTCCCCACACCGCTGGCTGGGAATGCACACAGAGCTTCCAGTAAGACCTGACCAGCCAGGAGGACAAAGGCCGCAGAACCCTGCCCCTGCCCCTGGGCCCGCCTCATGGAGCTGTGCCCTGACGGCCGCCAGGGAGCCATGGCCCCTTTGCCTCTGCGGCTGGGTGGGTTGGGGAAGGTCTGGGAGGGGGCTGCTCTCCTTGAGCACAGGGCCGTGTCTCCTGTCCCCCTTCTTCCTGCCTCTGGGGGGAGTTTGGCCCCCAGCCCTAAGTCCTGCTGAGCAGCCCAGTGCACCTTCCGCTTGCTGAGGAGGGAGCGGCTGTCCACCCTCCCTCCCTGGATCCAAAACTCAGACACAAGTCTTTGCAGCCAACTCTGTGGCTCTGAGCTCTGCACGCCACCCCCAGCATGGTGCTCTCAGAAGGGCCCAGAAACTGCTTCCCCTCCCCCACCTGACTCAGTCCTGGACAGTGACGCAGATGTGCCAGGTGACCTGGTGCGCCTGGCCCCTGAACCCTGGCCAGACCTTCCTCAGCGATGGTGGGTCAGACCCCTCAGATGACTGGGTCCGTGGACTCGAGGGAGAGGCACTCGCTCACTTGATGTTTCTTGAGCCCCTACGATATGCTAAGCTCGGTTCCAGGCACTGACTGGGATAACGAGGTCCTTTCCTCCTGGAGCCGATTTTTACAATGCCAGGAGACAGAGATAACACAGGAGTCAAGCGGTGATTTCTTCTATGGGGAAATTGAGCAGGATAAGACAGGATGACGGGGGCGATCCTCTCACCTCGGAGGGGTGTCGTGTGCAGACACCCCAAGGAAGGGGGAGGGAGGCCCGTGGGCCTCCAGTGGGAGAGCATTCCAGGCAGAGGAACAGCCACACCAGGGCCCTGACGCAGGAGATGCCCTGGGCACTTCACAGTGGTGACCATGACTCCCGCTGACCGTGGCCTTTCAGGGTGGTGACCGTGACTCCAGCTGACCATGGCACTTCAGGGTGGTGACCGTGACTCCAGCTGACTGTGGGCTTGTGACGCTTGCCTTTTAGCAGAGTCTCTTTCTTTGCTGTGAATTTAACTCTATGTTGAGAAGCAGAGCACATTTTCATTCTGGGTGCCCTCCAGAGACATCGCCACTCCACAGGCGCAGGTCATCCCGTCTGCTGGCTGTAGGAACTCCTCTCCCTGGCCCTGCACACAGCAGCCCTGGCAGCTGGCAGTGCTCTGCTTCAGTTTCCCATCTCCTCTCCTCTCAGGCGACCTGCACTTCCTGAGCTGCCTGAGTCACAAGCCACTTAACCATCAAGGCTGTCAGGACAAAATTTTAGAGGTCTGGTTATTAAGCACCAATTTGTCCAGTTCCGCTAATCCGCAGCTAGACATCCTGCTGTCCACAATCAGAGCCAGCGGGACCGAGGCACCCTAGGTCTATGCCACCTGTCGACACAACTCGGAAATGGCTCCATTCTTGTCTTAGCAGCTTCCCGTTAGGTCTGAGAGGAGGGGTCCCGTCGCGGGTGAGGGGCGGTTCCCGTGAAGCCTGGGTCGGGCGGGGTGAGGCGCCTGGACCAGAGGCGGGATTCGGGGCTCAGGCTGGGGGCGGGACTGGGGCAGAATTAGGGGGATCCAGCTGGGGAGGGTTGGGAGTGGAGCTGGGGGTAGGATGGGGGCAGGTTTGGGGGGCAGGGCTTAGGCGGAATTAGGGGGGATCCAGCTGGGGGGTTGGGAGTCGAGCTGGGGGCAGGATGGGGGTGGGTTTGGAGGCTCAGGCTGGGAGCTGGGCTGGGGAGGAATTGGGGGGATCCAGCCAGGGGATTGGGAGTCGAGCTACGGGTCCAGGCTCGACCCGTAGGGACTGGGTCGGGCTCAGGCTGCGGCAATCCCAGGCCAGAGTAGGCCACGCACGCGAGGACGGAAGGGCCACACGGCACGCCCTTGCCCAGTGCCGCCAGACTCCGGAGCTGAGGCTCAGCCTGCAGCTGCGCCGGGGGCTGGGATCCCACCGACCCGCCCCGCCAGCCCGAGCCAATCAGCGCTCGCAGATCAGACGCCGTGATTGGCTCCGAGAGCATCATGTGGCAGTGGCCTTGCCAATCAGAACCGGGGAGGTGCCAACGCAGGGTCGGGGGAGCCTCCGAAAGTCCTCCCTTGACCCTGCCCCATGAGCGTCCTCCCCTGTCTGTCCTCCCCAACTGTCCTCCCTAGACAGTCCTCCCCCGAGGCTCCTCCGACTGTCCTCCTTGTGTCCCCACACGAAGCCAGCCCCGCCTCCACGTGGTCCCCCCTCGGGACGAGGCCCGTGGGATGTGAGGCCTGAGTGCTCCCTGGCTGGCGGAGCAGAGGTGCCTGCCGGTCTGAGGACAGAGTGGGGGTGGGCCCCGCCCAGTGGCCCCTCAGGACCCCAGGAGCTGAGGAGGGGGCTGGGGATTGACCAGGCTCAGGGGCTCCACTCTGCAGCCTGAGGCTCACGGAAGACCCACAGCCAGGTGGGCCGGCTCTGCGGTGCCCAGAGTCCTGTGCTGTTCACACTGCCAGTCTGGAGGTGGGGCCTGGCAGCACCTCCCTCCTGCTGGCCTCCAGGACCCCACTCAGGTCTGGGGCCAGCCCCCTGGCCTCAATGGTGCCCGGAGTGATTTCTCTCAGCCCCAGAGAACAAGGCATGGGAATCGAAGCTTAGTTGACTTCTACAAAATAAAACACTGTTTTTTGCACGCTTGAGTGAGTCCACTGAGATTTATGCTGTGCAAAGGCAAAGAAGGACTTTGCCAGGAGAGAGGGCGGGGGTCCAGTGTGCCTGGGGAAAGGCCTGGAGGCTGGGATGTGACAGGGCGAGGGCCTGGCAGAAGCTCTGGGGTGCCGCCATCTTGGAGCAGGAGACCCCAGGACTGATGGGCGGAGGAGGACATCTCAGGGGTACAGCTCCTGCCACGGCTCTTCTCGTCTCTCCAGAGTGCCCTGTGCAAAGATGATTCCTTGGAAAGGTACCTGTCAATGTCTTATTAACTAACCTTCCAGGCCTGCCCAAACACTGACCTTTAATTTGCTTTAAGAACAAACCTTTGGTGTGGGTGCTGCTGGCAGCCGCAGAGAGAGCTTGCCCACAAGCTGGGCCCCATGCTCTGTACCCAGGTGGCCAAAAATCCTGATTCTCTCAGAGGAGTCCTAGATTCCAGGGCCCATCAGCCAGAACTCAGCCTCTCTACTCACGTGTCTACCAGGCCCAGGCTGTGACCCTGCAAAGGAGGGGGCACACCCCATCACACCTCCTGGCCCTCCCTCACCACCCAGGACTGGGAACAGGGGTGGGGCCTGGCTGGAACTTCCAGGCTAAGATTAACGATTGACGCTCTCCATGGATTCTCTCTCCTGCAGCCAATTCATCATACAGTGAGCAGAAATAAAGTTAAATGAATAATCAAGTCACCAACCAGGAGAAATTCACCAATGGCTGGGGCAGGAAATATACAAGAAAACCTAGAGGCAAGGGGATGCCAAATAACAAAGAACACACTATGATGGGGGGTGTGAAAGGGCACCCCGACCCAGCTCCAGTGGCAAAGGTGGAGTAATCTGAATGACAGATAGTGTTGGATTCTAACCCAAGTATCAAATAAATGTCTATGAGTCCTCACTGATATGAATGACTGAATAAACAAATAACTGGGGGAGAGAAACAAATGTCTCATGCAGAAGGATTCCAGCTAACTCACATAGACGCTGCCCTTGAGGGGTGGAGCAAACTCCCCAGCCTGCGTGTGGGCTGCACGTGGTGAAAGAGCACGTATGGGGAGGGGCTAAAAACAGGAGCGTGCAGTGCAGAGATGGGACCCACCACCACTGCAGGAGGCCGGGGTCAGCATCCACAGCCACAGGTCACACGACAACGCGTGTCCCTGATAACGGGACGGGATGAGACCTCACCTCTGTGGTCCTCCTCCCCAAACCCATATCCCCAGTCGAACCATGAGAAAAACAGACAGATCCCAGCTGAGGGACAGGGACGCTCTACAAAAGAAGACAGCCAGCACTCCTTACAACCGTCAAGGTCATCAAAAACAAGGCACGTCTGAGAAACCGCCACAGCCCAGACAAGCCTGAGGACACGTAAGGAATAAGGTAGGGTGGTGTCCTGAGACAGAAAAGGATTTCAGGCAAAGACTAAGAGATCTGCATCAAGAACAGATGTCAGTTAATAAAAATGTACCCGTGTTGGTTCACTCGTGGCGACAAGTGTGCTGCACTAACGGAAGATGCTAACAACAGGGAGAACTGGGGCAGGG